GCACTCTGACACTCCCCACCTTTCCCTGCACCCCACTCCCACCCCAGTCTGCCTCCTGTATGTGGATTTGTGCTGAAAACTGTTGATCACACAGGGATGTGTTAGTTATTGCTGAGCAGTGCTTATACAGCGTCAAGGGCTGTTGTGCTTCTCAGCCTGCCCTGCCAGTGAGCGGGTTGGGAGAGCAGAGAAAGTTGGTATAGCTGACCTCAACTGACTAAAGGGATATTCCAGAGCATGTGCTGTCATGTTCAGTAATAAAACTGGGGCAGGAGGGGAACATGACATGATGAGGGGAGATTGAGGGGAGTGCCACTGCTCGGGGTACAGCGTCAAGGGCTGTTGTGCTTCTCAGCCTGCCCTGCCAGTGAGCGGGTTGGGAGAGCAGAGAAAGTTGGTATAGCTGACCTCAACTGACTAAAGGGATATTCCAGAGCATGTGCTGTCATGTTCAGTAATAAAACTGGGGCAGGAGGGGAACATGACATGATGAGGGGAGATTGAGGGGAGTGCCACTGCTCGGGGACTGGCTGGGTATTTGTCAGTTAGTGGTGAGCAATTGTTTTCATTTGTATCACTTGTCTGTCTTGTTTCCTCCCCCCCCCCCCCCCCCCCCCCCCCGCCTGATCAGAAAGGAAGCTTTTTAGACCTTACTGTTTGTTGGGGGTGGTTGAACTGTTTTTTGTCTCAACCCACGAGTTTTTCTCACTTTTACCCTTCTGATTGTCTTTCCGAATCCCACTGGGGGGTGGGGGGTAATGAGTGAGCAGTTGTGTGGTGCTGAGTTGTTGGCTGGGTGTTAAACCACAACAGGAGGTTAGTTGCCGGCCCTGCCTGGCTAATGCTTTAGGCTCGCCCTGTTACTCCTACCAGCTTCCTATGTTGCTGCTTTATCCTTTTGCTCCGTAAGTTTGCCTTTTACTCATGCCATGCTAGCATACCTGTATCCCAACCTCTGGAAAGTAACTCTCCCAAAGACTAAGAGCAAAATGGCCACAGCAGTATGTACAGCGATTCCACCTCTCAAGGGACCCAGCAGGCCCCTTTCTCTTGCCTCTTCCTCTGTCGAGCTAGGCTGGAAAATCTGGTTGCTGCAGAAATTGCTACACCCTGTGCCTCCCTTCTTGGGTTGTTAGTTTTGCCCTGTGCGACTCCACGCAGGACACTGGCAGCCTGGAGAGCTTTACCAAGTCCTTCCTTTCTCTTTTTGGGCAGCAGCGGTTTTGCTATGGGGAGCTGCTTGCAAGGGGCTGGGGCAGCGACTGGCTACTGCACACTCCAGGTGGACTAAGGTGCTGTTCTCTGGGGACCTGCTGCGAGGAAAGCTGAGGTATGGTCTGCAAGGGAACTGTGCTCTGGTTGTAGCAGAAAAAGGCACCCGTCACAGGCAGCCACATATTGCTATGCACAGCTGTTGGGCAGGCATCTTGCTTGTTCAAGTAGAGGTATTTCTTGCCTTGCAGTCTTGATGGCAAAGCAGTGGGGGTTCAAGTTATGAAAGCCTTTTGACAGCAAGCAAGATGACAGATTTCTACTGGCACTGTATTTCAGCTGTGTTGCTAGCTGAAAATGGCTTGCAGGTCCAGAGATATTAATAATTCAGATCCCTGTAAAGAAACTTAGTGTTCCAGTGGCTGTTTTAAGGAGGCTGATTAGGCAGCCGAAGGAGTGGAACTGCTTGTCTAACACGGTGGCAGAACAGCCTGTCCGGCCTACTAAGTATTGCATGTTGGAGGCAGTGAAGCACAACTGTGATGCTGGCTGGCAGAAGCAGCAGGGACTGTGGAGCATGCTCCTGTATAGAGCAAAGATGGAACCTCCAGGGCTCTGCGATCATCCAGGCATATACCAACATGCCTCTTTGCTTTCCCTGTTTCATGTCTAATTACTTTGTATGCCAGAGGGCATGGGGATAAGCAACATTGTGTGATGTCTCTTAGATAAGTGACAAGCCTTGCACTAGAGACCTTGTGAGTATGCAGGGTTAGGAGACAGCACAGAGGTG